TGTTGGTGTGTAGGCACGAAGACTGTCAAAGCTGGAGTTGAACCACATCTCCTCAATTCGATTCTGTGATTCTTGCAGCCTCGCCCGAGCGGTCCCAGCCGACGTCGCCCTGTCGGTGGTTCCCTCAGGTTCAGGGGAATGAGGCCCATAATTGTTACTGTTTTCGGCGAGAAGAAAGTTTAACCACGCGTAGCTCGCCAGGCTCTGACGTGGCACCCGTACGTTTTTGGAACAGTCCAACGCCACGATGAGGCTGCGGATTGGATTTGTGGAGGGCTACTACATAACTGCTTAGACGTTTTTTGAAGGTCCCGGGAGTCTTGAGATAATTGTATTGGGGATTATTTGGGGAGCACTCCGAAAGTCCGTTTTCTGTGTACCATTCCAAGCGAGCGTATTCACTAGCTACATGTAGAACGTATCCTGTGGTGGAGCAGGAGCAGGATGTGGTTTGTTTAGCGCCAATCATGCTAACTTTGGATGCGCCGCGCATTGAGGTCCGCGCAGAGGTGATGGGATGGTGCAATTTGTGCGTAACGAGCAAATGTGTCTATAGGATTCAGGGAGGTCCATGGCGAACCTGTGCACTTGTTTACAGTGTTTTCCGTTGCGGATGATGGAGCGTGTCCGTGTCGACGCCGCCAGATCTGTGCTCCGCCAATTGCTGACTCTGATAAAGGAGACCAACAGCTGGAAAACGTCTGATACGAACGGATACGAACGATATGGTAGTCCTGTCGTTTGTCGTAAGAAAAAACAGGTTGGCTCAGCGCCAAGCGCGATCGCTCGGACACGCCCCATCATCCGCAGCGAACCAGAGTATGAGTTGTACTATCCTTTCATTCTATAAACCAGTAACTTTGTGTGTCGGTTTGTATGTTTGTAGGTTTGTATGTATGTATGTATGTCTGTCCGTCCGCAAAATGCTTCACGGGTTCGAGTTCGCTGGAGGCGAAAACGACCGCTAGGCAAACAGGCAAATCGGTGCGGAAGTATCAATCCAATGTTTTGATTGTGATAACAGCCTCCGCTATATAAGACAACCATTCGGTACACTCCGAGCCATTGCACGAGCTGCTGGCGTGGCAGCTGGACGTGTGCTCGTGCGGGGGCAGGGTGGGGGCGCCAGGTCGCCCTGCCTCCTCCTGCATGTGCTCAGCCGGAGCTGAGCACATGTATTGGAGGGAGGCAGAGGGAAGGGGTCGCGGGGAGGGGGTACAGTGAGGGGTGCGTAGCGCGCGTTTCAGTAGAAACGCGCACCAAGGGATGAGGAAACAACCGCTAACAAAACTGCAAGCCAATCTATGTTACCGTAACGAACTAAGAAGTTGTTTTGGTTGTGATAACACTCTCCACTATATAAGAAAACCACTACACTCCGAGCCATTGCACGGGTTGCTCGCGTGGCAGTTGGACGTAAGCGCGTGCAAGGGGCAAGGTGGGGGGGGGGGGAGTGGCGAGTACGGAATGGGGTGAGGTGAGGAAGG